CTCATCTGAGATCCTGGTTTAGTGGCCATGAAAGCTACAACTACTGTGATAGTTTTGACCAATATACTAGAAATGGCCACAGAGAAAGTGACACCAAACATTGATTGTCAGAGAAGGCAGGTCACTTTGCCAGGTTGGCTGAGGAAGAGGAAAGAAGAGAGAAAACAGAGCTGAAGAGAGACAAGCAGCATGTAGGTGAGGAACCTGTTGTTGGCTTTGACAATGGGAGTATCCCTGTACTTAATAAAAGTTCCAAGTATCCAAGATGTCAGGATGAAGAAACCAAGAGCTGCTGAGGCTAAACCAATTCCTAAAGTTTCTTCAAAGGTTAGAAACACCACCGGTTTCAGGATACAGTCTTTCTTTTCTTTATTTGGATAATGATCTTCTGAACATTCAAAACAGTCATCCATATCTGGAAGCAAAATCAAGGAAATCATTCCAAATTATTAGAAATCACTTTTTTAATTATTTTCATCCCAAACTAGTATATGAAATGTAATGAAAAATGGTAGAATTTCTACCCCACCGTTTTGATCTGAAATCTTCCCTTCTGGGCATGGAACACAGTCATAGCAGCAGAACTGATTTCCCTCGATCCCCTTCTTCCAGGATCCAGGGAAACAAGGGTCATTGCACTGGGAGAATGGAAGAACCTGTTGATAAGCAAAGAAGGTTTTGAAATTGGAGGCATTTAAAACAGTTTGTAATTGTTTTTGACTTCCCAAAAAGATATTGAATTTTTCAACTTCATCAAGTTAAAAAGATGTGGAAATTGCAATGATGTAGAAAAGGTCCTGTTTGAAGGGCAGGAGGTTTAAACAATTGTGCATAGTAACAATCTCATGGAAAAGTGACCATTCTTGTGATTTCATATTCAAATCCAAACCAAAAATGGAAACCTGCCTTCTACATTGTAATATCATATTGTCCATTTGAGGAATGCCTGATCATCAACAAGGTTTGAAAAGAATATGCCTAGCTGATTGAATAATTCAATACCTGGTTAAAAGCTTGAATACCACAAGGATTTGAACAGATACTCTGGCAGAAGAAAACAGAGGGTGGATACTTGAAGTAATGAAATTGACAGAAACACAACAACCCCTTGAACCAAACTCTTTATGGTTCAAGACTCACTTTATAGCCAAAAAGATACCTTCATTGTTATTGAATTTCAATTGCATTTTTTTTTTAAATGAGCAAATGCCAACAAAAGTAGTATAAGAGAGATTTGCAATAGAATGTATATTTAATTATTATAATTATAGAAATAAAAATAGAGCTTTTTTCCAAGTTACCACATTTACTTTCTACCAATTTTTCACAAAAAAATAATAATGAACAAATGCAGAACGTATCAGTCATTTATTGTAAGCATGTTTTCTGGAGAGAAAACAACACAGATATTTATTTATTTATTTATTTAAAAAAATACCTTAAGTGCTCTAAAACTCTTCAAAAAAAAATGTCTTTCACATTCTCTGACAAACACTTTCATGTATTCTAAAGAATATTATTTCTTCTCCCCCATCTAGAAGCATTTGAATGTCAGAGAAGTTATAGATTTGTAATAAACCATACATTTTTTCTCAAACACCTTTTACTCATATGAGAAATTTTGGGGGAACTGGGTAAGATTATAATAAGAAAAAAAAACTTTTACAATGGGATGTCATATAGTTTGATTTAAGGATGTTCCTTAAATTTCAATTCATAAAAGTGACAAACTATGCAGGACACGTTGCCACCAATTAACAAATGACCAGTCGACCTGGGACTCTACATCAGACTGTAGTTGAAAAGTATCCAGAATTCCAATTTGTTCAAAACGCAGCCACCTGTATGGTTTTGTGCAGACTCAGGTGCTCACCTGTGTCACCTTTATTGCGAGAGTTGTATTGGGTGAGAATTTGCTTCTGGGTAAATTTCAAGGTGCTAGTTATCACCTTTAAACCTTATATTGCTTGGGACCAGATTATCTGAAGAAACGTCTCTTCCTGATCCCATCCATGTGATCTGGTAGAGCAGAGAGGCAGGGAATGTTGTGCATCCTCTCTCTTAAGTAAGGACATCTGGTGGGACCCAGAAGAAGTGTCTTCTTTGTGATGGCTTCTTCCCTCTGGAACATCATCTGCATGGAGATAAGATTGGCTCCTACTTCAATGCTCTTTTGCAAAACCCCAAGCACCCAGTTTTGCCAATAGGCCCATGGAACCCAGAGTGGGTTGGAGCCTATCAAGTGGCTCAGCTGACTGATTGCTATCTCTAGGGGTGTACCTTTAAGTGTTTGTGTATTTGGTTTTTATTTTTATTTTTTTAAACAGCTGAGAGACACTGAGAGTGAATTGGTGACCATATAAATTCTCTTAAATAAATAAAGAAACTCCTTACAATGGTATGTCATAAGTTCTTCTTCAAAGATCTTCTTTGAATTTCAGTCTATAAAATTGGTAAACAATGTGGGACATTGTGCCACCAATGATGAGAAGAGAGGAAGTATCACTTGTAGAGAAGTACAGAGAAACTAGTTTCTATCTGAATTAGGGTTGCACTTTCATTATTACTTGGGTGACATGCCTTGCCCCTATCTATCATCTCTCTCTCTCTCTCTATTTATTATCTATCTATCTATCTATCTATCTATCTATCTATCTATCTATCTATCTATCTATCTATCTACCTTCATGACTATATGCCTATTGATCCTTCACATCTAGTGAAAAGTCAAAATGTCCCTCAAATTTTCTTCATCTTTATAGTCCTGTCCTCTATCAGAGAGAGGTGTACTCTTTTTCTGGTATTTGAGCTGAATTTCAGCTGACTTTCTTGAAAAATGCCAGACTTTTTATTTTAAACTAATTTGAATCACTCTTTCTAATGATCAGCGTACACTTTGAGTAAAGCATGAAACAGAAGGCAGGATACATTTCATTACACTAAATTTCCCCTATTATTAATATCTGATAACAGGTTGCTCGGGAAATAGATTTATGGGTACAGGGTGAATGGTTATGACTCAATATAAAACCTTTTTTTCTAAATACATGTAAACGTAAAGGTTAACAAACTCAATAAATTTGACTTTTCAAACGACCCTAAGAAGTCCAAAACTGACATCATATAATATTGTGTTCAATACCTATTCATAAAAGATAATGAGCCTTTCATTAAATTTATGTAGTGTTTTATGAATTGAAAGTAGAAAAACCATAAAAATGTCTCTGCAGACATTGGACATCTCCCTCCCTCACCCCCTCCCTCTCTCCATACCTATAATCTTTATCTATCATCTCCATCTAGGGCAGGGGTGTGAAACTCAAGGCCTGTGGGCCAGATCCGGCACACAGGGTGCTTAGATTTGTCCCACCGGGCCGCCCTGAAAACAGCAAAGAAGTGGCCTGCGGTGCTTCTTCCAGCACAATATGGAGCCCAGGGGGCCTATACATGTTTTCGGCCTGGATGTCCTGCTGCAGCCCTCTGCCAGATAAAACGGTGCTCCCAACATGAGTGACGTCGAGCTGACCACGTCCACCAGGCACCCCAAGGTCAAACACAACCTTGGTATGGCCTTTATTGAAATCGAGTTTGACACCCCTGCTCTAAGGGAATATTCACATTTTTTCCCTCAGAAATTTTCATTTTTGAAATCGCTATCTCTATCAGAGACTAGTGTACATATTTTTTTAGGATTTTCACTATATTTCACCTTTGCTTTTATTGAAAAATGCCATCTAATTCTATACTGAGATGTATGGAAATAAATAAAGAGTGAAATCACTCTTTATTATAGTCTTTGTTCAGCACAACTGTGAATAAAGGATGAGACAGAGGAAAAATACATTTAATTCCATTTCACCGAATTTCCAATATTATTGAAATCTGGTAACAGGTTGTAATGAAAATAGATTTATCAATAGAGCATGAATGCTTATGACCCAGCATTTCACTCTGCTAAAAAACTAATTCCCACAATACTGTCAAACTATTTACTAAGATTGTATTAATGTTATTGTTCTCATCCTTCCTTTTACCTATCTCCTCCCACTTATGACTATAACCATGTTGCTTCTATCTTTACAACTTATATTGTTTTAATTGTTTCCTAGTATGATTTCATTGCTTATTAGTAACCTGTGACTATCACTAAATGCTGTATCTTATGATTCTTATGAATCTTGATGAATGTATTTATTTTATTTTTATGTACACTGAGAGCATATGTGGCAAAGACAAATTCCTGTCTGTCCAATCACACTCAGCCAATAAAAAATTCTATTCTATTCTATTCTATTCTATTCTATTCTATTCTATTCTATTCTATTCTATTCCATTCCATTCCATTCCATTCCATTCCATTCCATTCCATTCCATTCCACTCCATTCCATTCTAAATGTATGGGATTTACAAACTCAATAAATTTTAATATTTATGTTAAATATATATTCATAAAATAGTAATTAGCTTTTTACTATATTTATATAGTGTTTCAGGAATTGAAAGTATAAAAGTACTGAAAATATATCTGCAAACATTGAACATTTTTTGAGTCAATACCTGAAATATGTTAACAGGAACCAAGAAAGCTACATTATCAAAATCAAGTTCAACAGGAATGTTGAAATGGGAAAGGATTAGGTTAAAGAATCTTGGAAAAGGATGGAAATTTATTTTATTTTATTTATTATTTATTTGTCAAACATGAACAAGATAACAGGTATATGTATAACCATGGATAGGAACATAGGATATGAGTACAAATAAATGGGGACAGTATGACATGGACAAGTATTATTGAGGTTGAAATGCAGCAACACGAGTACTAACTTTGGGAAGGCCAACCATAATAAAACTGAATAATCACAAATATCCTATATAAATCATTTAACAGAAATAAAAATGTCTAAGTTTCTAAACTTGTATATAATTTTCCTGTAGGCACAGTCTTTCTATTCCTTTTTTGAAATGTTCTGGTAAGTCAGAAAGATCACATGGGGTATTAGTTCCTCTTTTTGAGTTGTTCCCTGTGGTTGAGGTCAGGACACAAAACAATGATGTAGCACTTTGGCAGGAATATGCACCCCAGTAATGCAGCGCTGGAGGCCAAGATGGAGAAAACCTCCACAGCTGCCATGGCTTTTCCTTTTGTGCTCAGATATGCTGGAAAGAAGGAGATCCACACACTGCAAAAGGCCAACATGCTGAAGGTGATGAACTTGGCTTCATTAAAGGTGTCGGGTAATTTACGGGCAAGGAAAGCCACAATAAAGCTGGCAATGGCCAAGATTCCCATGTACCCCAAGACACAGTAGAAAAAGAAAGATGATCCCTCATTGCATTGTAAAATTATTTCTTGGAACTCTGAGTGCATGTCCAACTCAGGGAATGGGGGAGATGTTGACAACCAAAGAATACAAATGCATACTTGTAAGAGAAAGCATGAGAGGACAATAGAAAAGGCCAATCTTTTCCCCACCCATCTCCTCATCTGAGATCCTGGTTTCGTGGCCATGAAAGCAACAACTACAGTGATGGTTTTGGCCAGTACACTAGAAATGGCCACAGAGAAAGTGACACCAAACATTGATTGTCGGAGAAGGCAGGTCACTTTGCCAGGTTGGCTAAGGAAGAATAAAGAGGAGAGAAAACAGAGCTGAAGAGAGACAAGCAGGGTGTAAGTGAGGAACCTGTTGTTGGCTTTGACAATAGGTGTATCCCGATACTTAATAAAAGTTCCTAGTACCCAAGTTGTCAAGAAGAAGAAACCAAGAGCTGCTGAAGCTAAACCAATTCCTAAGGTTTCTTCAAAGGTTAGAAATACCACCGATTTCAGGATGCATCCATTGTTTTCTTTATTTGGATAATGATCCTCTGGACATTCAAAACAGTCATCCATTTCTGGAAGCAAAATCAAGGAATTTGTCATCTAGGCATTCCAAATTATTAAAAAGGTAAAGGTTCCCATCGCACATACAGTATATGCTAGTCATTCCTGACTCTAGGGGGCGGTGCTCATCTCCGTTTGAAAGCCGAAGAGCCAGCACTGTCCAAAGAGGTCTCCGTGGTCATGTGGCTGGCATGACGAAATGCCAAAGGCACATGGAATGCTGTTACCTTCTCTACTTTTCTGCTTGCATTTTTTACAGACCATCGAACTGCTAGGTTGGCAGATGCTGGGACAAGTAACGGGAGCTCACCCTGTTATGCGGCACTAAGGAATCGAACCACTGAACTGCTGACCTTTCAATCAACAAGTTCAGCATTTTAACCACTGAGCTACCATGTCCCTTCACTGAGCCACCGCGTCCCTTCCAAATTATTAAAAATCACTTTATTAATTTTTTGAATCCCAAACTAGTACAGTAAAGTGTAATGAAAAATGGTAGAATTCCTACCCTACCATTTTGATCTGAAATCTTCCCTTCTGGGCATGGAACACAGTCATAGCAGCAGAACTGTTCCCCTTCAATCCCTTTCTTCCAGGATCCAGGGAAACAAGGGTCATTGCATCGAGAAAGTGGAAGAACCTGGTTTTGTAATTGGAGATATTGAAAACAGTTTGTAATAGTTTTTGACTTCCCAAAGAGATATTGGATTTTTCAACTTCATCGACTTAAATGATGTAGGAAAGGTCCTGTTTGAAGGGCAGGGCATGTAAATAATTGTACATAGTGACCATCTCATGGAAAAGTGGCCATTCTTGTGATTTTAGATTCAAATCCAAAACAAAAATGCAAACATGCCTTTTACATTGTAATATCATATTGTCAATTTGAGGAATGCCTGATCATCACAAGGTTTTGAAAAGAATATGCCATTGTTTATTTTAAAAAAGACAGAAATCAGATTTGTAAACAGACTGCATTCAAAATGGGATCATAATGGATTAATTATAGCCAATTCAGTAGTTCAATACCTGGTTAAAAGCTGGGTTCCAGACAATCACATCTTCATCAATGAATAATTCTTTTCCTTTTGGAGCCTGGAGATCCATCTTTCCAATTCTAAGTCTCCGAAAGGATCTGTTTGGAAAAGTGATCAAGTTGGTAATGTCGAACCCTCCAGTTGTTTCCCCTTTCTCATTCAGGAACACTCTCTCCCCAGCTGAATTGTTAAAAGCAATGCCTTGAAGAAATGAATGGAGCTACTTGAAAAAAATGAAAGAGAAAGGGAGTTGAATACAATGTAGAAAAGAGGAGAACAACATATTCAAGTTTTTTTTTATTTGTTCTTCCTGGTCCTATAACAATTATTAAATGTGTGCAGTTACAAATTTAAGAATTGATATTTCATAGAAATGTACAGTACATAGCTATTCTATTATTAATTTGATATTATTTTAAGGAAAAATAAGAATGAACTAAAGCAGAATGAAAATAGGCTATTGGGATTATTCACATTTCTTCAATTATGATTCAGGTTCATTTCTTAAATAATAATGAAACCAGGACCATAGCTAATCTTCCCTCAATGGCATAAAGGTATTTGATAGTTGAAATAAGACAAATTTCCTTTAGCTAGATTTGAAAATTTGAAACTTATTATTCAATAGTTAGATGTGGGATAGAAATTGTTGCAAACATAAAGTTGTTCCAAAGCATGGATGCCACTTCTGAAAAGAAGCGTGTTTTAATTCATTTCCCTTGAATTCTGATAAGGACAGAAAGCTCAGTTTCTCAATCTGCAAAATTCATCAGCCAGGAAGAAGTATTTGGAGAATTGATTGTTTTTGGAGGAAACAATGAAAAGTAACCTAAATTATCATTTTAAATATCTTGTATTGTACAAGCTATAATGAATTCCTACATAATTCCTACTGATATCTGATAAAAGGTAGAGACAGGAAGTAGAGAATCAGACATGCTAGATTTATTGTAATTCTCACTAAGATAAAATGAAAGAAGGTGTTGAAGTTACAGGAATGTTCAGTGTGAGAGACCGTGCAATAACTGGAATTTAATATTATGCAAGCAGAAGCAAAAGAAAAAAATCAGATTGGAGTCTTGGACTTCAAGAGGGCTCATTTCAATATCATTAGAGAGAGTTTATGAAAGATTCCATGGATTAAAATTCTCAAGGGGAGAAAAGAACCGAAGAAACTTGGGAAAATTTGAAAAGTGAGATTATAAAAGCCTAGTCTAACACAATTCCAATGAAGAAGAAAAACAAGAGATCGCAAAAGAAATCAGCATAGCTGAACAAAGAACACTCTGATAAACTGAAAGACACAAATGACAAGTATAAGAGGAACAAATAACTAAGGCAGAATATCAGGAAATAGCTTGAACCTGCAACAATGAAGTCAGGAAAGCTTCAGCTCGAAATAAGCTAAGGCTTGCTACTAAATAAAAAATAAGTTTAAAAAGCATCTTTTAACATGTAAAAATCAAGAAAAGGGTCAAGGAAACAATTTGTTCATTAATGGGAGAAAACTAATTTGCTTTACATAAAACAGTCAAACCTATCTACACACACACACACACACACACACACACACACACACACACACGTAAAATGCAGATGAGGAATGCAAGTCAAAATAAGCAAGGAAATGGTAGGAGAACACCTACCTGCTCTAGACAAGTTCAAATTACCAGGACCAAACGGATTGCACCCTAAAGTTCAGAAGAAGGAAGTGGAAAATATGATCTCAAAACCAATGAACTATATCAAAAAATGGTTGTAGGAATGTCTAGTTTAATGTAAAGAAGGACTAGAGGTGACATGATAGCAGTCTTCAAATGTCTAAGGAAGTGCCACAAAGAGGAGAGGGTCCACATGTTCCCCAAAGAACTTGAAAAAAGGATGAGAAGAAATTAAGGGAAACTAATAAAGAAGAGAACCAAGCTAGAACTAAGGAGAAATTTCCTGACAGAACAATTAATGAGTGGTTTACCTCCAGAAGTTGTGGATGCTCAACTCAACATTAAGAAAAATAAGTTCATGGCATTTGGCCCTCTCAATTCCTGGCAAATAGATGGGGAAGAAATCGAAGTAGTGACAGATTTTATTTTCCTAGGCTCCAAGTTCTCTGCAGATGGGGACTACAGCTAAGAAATTAAAAGACGCTTGCTCCTGGGGAGGAAAGCTATGGCAGATCTAGACAGCATACTAAAAAGCAGAGACATCACCCTGCCAACCAAAGTGTGTATAGTGAAGGCTATGGTTTTCCCAGTTGCAATGTATGGCTGTGAAAGTTGGACCATAAGAAAGGCTGTAAGATAATCAAACTGGTCAGTCCTAGAGGAGATCAATCCTGACTGCTCTTTAGAAGGCCAGATACTGAAGATTAAACTCAAATACTTTGGCCATCTAATGAAAAGGAAGGACTCACTGGAGAAGAGCCTAATGCTGGGAACAATTGAGGGTAAAAGAAGAAAGGGACTCAATGATCAGAATATGGAAAATGGGAAAACAGAACCTAGTTTTTCTGAACCTATTTCATACAGAAGAAGAAAAACGGACTTGGAAGGGACCTTGGAAGTCTTCTACTCCAATATACTGCTCAAGGAGGAGACTTAAACCATTTTAAACAAATCACGGCCTAATCACTTTGCAAAAATTTCCAGTGTTGGAGTCTCCACAACTTCTAGGGGCAAGGTTCCTACTAAGTCCTAAGAGCCGAGGTGGTGCAGTGGTTACACTGCAGTACTGCAGCTACTTCAGCTGACTGCTAGTTCAGCAGATCAGTGGATCAAATCTCACCGGCTCAAGGTTGACTCAGAGTTCCATCCTTCTGAGGTGGATAAAATGAGGACCCAGATTTTTGGGGGCAATATGCTATTTAGTATACTGTCTTTGGTGTAAGCTGCCCAGAGTCCTCGGAAAGTGGGTGGCATAGAAATATGACTAATAATAATAATAATAATAATAATAATAATAATAATAATAATAATAACAACAACAACAACAACCACCCCTCCAAGGAACTCTACCTTATATTGGTGGAGGGGCTTGAACAAAGGTAATGGACTAATGACGTATAATCCTAAACCACAAATTTTTCATTACAGAAGAATTAATAGCAATAGAAGAGAAAGCAATTAATGGTCTGAGTACATCAACAAAGAAGAGTAATATCAAGAATGATTTGCTGACTCAAAAGCAAATTGAGGAAGAAAGGGAGGAAGAGGGTACTGAAATGGATGTAGATAAAGAACAAGGAAGCACTAAAGGACAAACACCAACAGATAGTGCTCAATTAGCTGGAAAAATAAAGCATCAAATGGAAGATGCTGAAAGAACACATTTGCCAAAGATGAACCAAGTGAACCGGAAAGAATTGAGAAATGTACTTAAAAAGGTCAATGAGGCTGTGCAAACTATTTGAACCACTACATTAGCCGAAACAAACCAACTGATGTATGCAGCAGCCGTCATAACACCCCAAAGAACTGGGGTTGAAAATACAAAAGAACCAAAGAGGCAAGAAGGGGAAGCCTAAGTGGAAAATTTGGTTAGAATTGAAGATCAAAAAAGTATGTGGAGATTTGAGCAACTTGAAGAACCTAAGGCAAGGTCAGCTAAAGAACAAGCAGGTCAAAAGCAGCCTGGAAGCAAGATACGATTTTAGGAATGAGGAGATTGCGGTAGTAATTGAAGAGCTGAAGCAGAGGGTTGTTGCCATCACTGAAAAGATTAAAAGGTATGAAAACTGAGTAACTCAGTTCAAGGAAAACTCACAGTTCAGAGCAAATCAGCACCAGTTTTATAAGAGCTTAGAAAATGGAGACGGAGTAACAACAAATAAAGAGAAAGCTCTGAAATTCTGGAAGAATTTGTGGGAAAACAACAAGAAGCACAACAGAAATGCAAAATGGATCAAACAGGTTGAGGACTCTATTAAAGTGCATAAAATGGAAGACGTGAAAATAACAAAAGCAATGGTGCAAAGACAGTCAAGAAAAGTGAAGAACTGGAGTGAACCTGGACCGGATGAGCTGCATGGCTTCTGGTTAAAGGCATTTTACAAGTGTGCACAAAAGATTGGCAACCCAGATGAACCAGATCCTAAAAACACCTGAAAATGATGAATGGATGACAACTGGAAGGACATTTTTGATCCAAAAAGATAAAGAAAAAGGAAGGGACCCTGGAAACTATAGGCCAATCACCTGTTTGCCAACAACATACAAGCTTCTTACTGGTATCATTGCAAACCAAATCTATGGATACCTGGAAAGAAATAACTTGCTTCCTGTAGAACAGAAAGGATGCTGCAAAAACTCAAGAGGAACAAAGGATCAATTGCTGATTGACAAGCTAATCCTAAAGGACTCAAAGAAAAGACGAACCAACCTGTTCATGGCTTGGATAGACTATAAGAAAGCGTTTGATTCAGTTCCCCATAGCTGGATCAAGAAATGCCTGGAAATCTTTGTCATCAGCAGCAACATACAAAAATTCATGGAATCTTCAATGAACCTCTGGAAAACGCAACTTATGGCTAATGAAGAAGAATTGGGTGAAATTGAAATTAAACAAGGCATTTTCCAGGGCGATTCCCTTTCACCCCTACTTTTTATATGCTTTTTATATGCTCAATGCACTGACAATCATTTTGAAGATGATCTGTGGATATGAACTTGCAAAGAAAGGACTGAAAAGCTCGCACTTGATGTACATGGATGATTTGAAGCTGTTTGGTAAAACAAAAGCTGAACTGAATTTATTAACTGAAAACACAAAAGAATTCAGCCAAGACATTGGTATGCAGTTTGGAATTGACAAATGTGCAACAATAGCAACCAAAGCAGGCAAGATCATAGAAGAGGATGGAATAGAACTAGAGAATGAAGAAATGATAAAGGCAGTAAAATCAGAAGAAGGCTACAAGTACTTGTGGATTTTAGAAGCCTCTGACTTAATGCATAATAAAGTCAAGGAATTAACTTCAGCCAAGTACATTCGGCAAATTCATAAGATATTAATGTCCAAATTGAGTGGAGGAAACATAATAAAAGCCATAAATACCTGGGCTATACCTGTGATTAGATACTCTGCAGGAATAATTGACTGGACCCAGATGGAGTTAGACAAT